AGCGCTGGGTACAGTCAGAAGCGCGGGGGAGGGTGAGAGAATTCACCAGAGCCAGAGCGGGGAGCAGAGCAGGCAGAAGGACTGAAGAACACTGCTGAGGGGAGCAGCGGGTGGCAGGAGAGGTCTGCGGGCCATGCAGGACCCTCCTCCCGTGGCCAGGGAGCAGCTGGGGATCAAACCGGCGCCCCAGAGCCTGCGGGCAGCCTCGCAACCCAGCGCTCAACCGTTGCGCCACCGGGGAGGCCCCCGAATAGATTTTGATTGAAATTATACCACTTTTGCAGTTTGCAGATGATAGATCATGGGATTTCTCAGTCTCACTACTTGTATGAGGTAATTCCTCATAATAAATTTCTTCATATATACAGGTGTGTATACACACACACACACACAAACACACATGTGAGTATGATGGAGGACAAAAATAAAAAGACTGGAAAGGAGGTGCCCCAAGACCAGAACCTGACTCACACAAGGAGGTAGGGGTAGAGGAAAATAACACGACCATTAACCCAGCTGTAGATGTCAGGACCCTTAGGCACCAGTGCCTTATTACAAGGCATAAGACCCAAGCAGGATCAGACCTGAGGGTAAAGATATGGAGATCGGGCCCATTCTGCAATCTCTGGTCTCTTTCTAGTTCTGCCTAGTTATCCAAAATCAGCAACAAACAGGCCACTCCATGGAGGAGTGAGCCCCGTCCCAAAGAGAAGAAGACTATATGAGTACAATCTCTGTACAGGCTCAGGGCAGCACTCCCACTGCCCACCTGTGACTATGCAGGTGCCTCTTTTCACCAACTCTCCCTCTGCAGAGCCCCAGCCTCCCTGCCTGCCCAAGACCTGTATTATGCCGGGACATCTCTTCACTGACCTCCCTCAGCAGAGGCAGCTCTCCTCAAGGCCGCCCACCTGCAACCATGCAGGCTTCTCTCAGAAAACCTGTCCCTTTTGAGCAGCTCTTCCTGCCAGCTTGTGTCTATGCAAGTGTCTTTACTCTTCTGTCATTTCCCTAACAAACCTGTTCTTTAAATATAACTAATGTCTCTGTCTGGTGGAGAAACTCGCCTGGGAAACTTGCCACGTGTTGCTGAAAGGGGAGCTCTGGTGAAACCTTTCCCAGAGTGAACCCAAGGATCCCGCACAACAAACCCACAGACTCCAAAAAACGACAAGTGTATATATGTGTGTATATATGTATATATGTATATATGTGTGTATACATATATACACACATCCCATTCATTCTGTTTCTCTACCTAGTGGGCATTCAATAAAATGAATACGTTAAAGATCAGTGCTAAGAATTGTCTTTTAAATATTTGCCATTTTCACAGGTGAGAAATGAAAACCTTTTTGATGTTTGAAACTTGCATTACTTTACTATTGTAGATGAATATTTTTAATGTATTTATTGATCAACTGCATTTTCTCTTTTAATATTTTTTGACCATTTTATTGGACCCGAAATTGTAATGAACTCATTACAATTATAATTTATTAATAAGATTTTGTGATTTTTTTTTTGTTCCTAAAATATATGTCATCAAATCAAGAAAATAACAGGCAAAATAAAAGCAAATTTTGTGATCATAGAAAAGAAGTGGAATCAGGAATGTTAGTTGAAACATTGTATGATGCCATCTACTGGAAAGCTTATTTTATCTCTCTGGGTTAGAGATTTTCCAATTTCAATGCCCCTAAATTTGGTATTTATGGGACTTTATAAGGAAAGATGCTTTAGCCCCTTTTCTGCCTGGAGAGATCTATCTCATTTAATGAATGTAGATAACAGCCCAAAAGTTGTGTTTCAATATTATTCAGATTGGAAACTATAAAAAATCCACGGGTTAAAATTAAGTGCTACTATGGTACTATACTTTCCCTTTTTAATCAGCATTTTCTCCAACTTCACCACTGTAAGTAAACTCGTTGCTGATAAAATTCATTTGTGTAGTCTGTGTCAGGCCCTGTGCTATCAATACTTGTATTATTATATGTAATCCTCTCCTCAACAACTGTTATAAAGTGGGTATGATTATTATCCCATTTTACACATGAGAAGATTGAGGAAGAGGGTTTAAGGAACTTCCACAAGATCACACAGCAAGGCAGTACCTTTGCTGAGAGCCCATCATGTTACTACATGTATGCTCAGGGCTCTGTGATGGAAAAGATAGTAGTCACACCGATAGTGAGAAAGGACTAATGATCTTACAATTCCATACTGCCACCTACATTCAGCTTAGTATATTTACTATACTAAATGCAAAAATGAATTCTTTCTTATTTTTTGTCTATTAAGACTTTTTTTTTTTACATATTGCCACTTGATATTTACGTGGTTTGATCTAGCACTCAGATTTTCCTTAAATGTTGGTGGTTGATTTTTGGTGTTACAAATTTGAGGACATGCTCCTGCTTGGCTCTTATTCTCCATTCTTTCCCAATACTACTATAAAGTAAATGGAGCTGCTTCAAAGCATCTATGAGGAGACAAACTGAAACTAATTTATTTATAACTGGTTAGAAAACCCAGTCGATAGAGATCTGTGAGTTAGGCCAACTGAGGCTAATGAAGTGGGCCTCAAGCATGTGGCCCTGCCCAGCTGTAGCCCACAGGGGGCAAGTCCCAGGTCTGAGCTGCCTGGGCCAGCTCAGTGCAGGCAGAAGCCTGGGTTCCTCCCTGTCCCTTGCTGAAACATATCTCCCATAGTTGGTTCCCTCCCTAGGGCCCTGTAGGGTAAAGAAAATGTCAGGCTTTTCTGCCCTCCCGCCATCAGGATAGATGATGGATCCTTGCGGTCCTGAATGCATGCCTGATGGCGGGCACCTGGAATAGGGTGTGGGCATAGGTAGATGTGATTCACCTGGGCTAAGACTGGGCTTTTAAGGGCGGCGTCACGGGGACGCCAGCAGCAGCAGCAGCAGCAGCAGCAGCAACAGCAGCCGAAGCCGAAAGAGAAGCCGAGAAGCAGCAGAACGAACGCCAGAGAGCCCAGATAGAGTAAAGACTTGCTGGGGGCTGGGAGGCCTGCCAGCCTGCTAGCCCCCCAGCCAGCACCCCTGCCTGCCATATGCCTGGTGAACCCCAATAAAAGACCTGCAAAAACCCACTAAGGACTCTGACTCCTCCTTTACCTGGTCTGCATGGGATCAGAAAACCTGCACTGTGGTCCAGTTCCTGCCCTTACAGGCCCAAAGTATCAACTAACTACAACTGAAAAATTTATTCCTGCTACTGTCTTAGTAGGAAGTATAAAGGTAACATCAGAATTTTATAACAGATCCTCTTGAGGCTACATATTTGACAACCACCCTGTGTTGTAATTCATTAGTGACTCTAATAATGGAAAGTTCTGGCTGTGAAATATTTTGGGGGTGGGGATGGGGAGGAGAGAACTTGGTTGGCAATCAGACTTTCACTATCTTTTAAATATTTATCTACCAAAGAAGTTTACTTTTCAGTATCCTAGCAGTGGCTTTGGCCTTTAGAAATCTTTTGAGCATTAATGATTAATGATGGAATAATGTAGTGGGTTTTTTTTTAATAAACAACGTAAAATTTTCTCAATTTGTTGTTTTATTGCTGAATGGAAGAGAAATTTGAAAATATAATCTTGTGTTTCTATCTACACCGTATATCCCTCATCCCCACCCCTATATCAGTGGCTCAAAGTTGAAATGATAAAGCCTAATGAGGCAAGAAAACCATTCACATCAATATTTAGCAAAAAGGGAAAAATTGATCACTAACAAATTTTAAAGCATACAAAACTGGGAAAGAACAGAGGACATAAAATCACAGTAAATACTAGTGCCTGCCCGGTGGCTCAAGGGGTTAGGATGCAGCCTATGAGGCTATCCGCAGCCACTGCAGCATGAGTTCTATCCCTGCCCAGGGAGATACCCACACGGCACAGTGGACCTCTCCTGACTCACCCGCTGCTCCCCTCAGCAGTGTATTTCCATTGATATGCCTGTTCTGTTCCCCACTCTGTCTCTGGTGAATCCTCTCACCCTCTGTGCCTCTGGCTTGTACCCCAATTCTTGTTTGCATAAATAATCTTAAAAAAAAATCACAGTAAATACTACCAAGCATTAATTTGTGCCAGGCACTCTTCTAAATACTCTCTGTATGTATGACATTTGATTCCCACCAGAGGATTTCATGAGGTAGATAGTAATTAATCTTATTACACAGTAAGGAAATTGAATAAATCATACAGCCAGTAAACTATGGACCAGAACCAAGCTGCCAAGCTGGAAAGCCCGAGAGCTTATACCCCATAGTTGAAGTTCAAACTTGCATCACTTCCTTGAAGAGTCAGACAAACTAGGGGAGAAAAATCCATTCAATGCATCATTCAATTAACTAAAGGACATCTGTCTGATTACACAATTACTTAACTCCACGCTGTCTCCGAAATCATTTAAAGAAGTAAATTAGCTGTGCTTTATTATCCAATTGATTCGAGTCAAGAGGCCTACGTCATTCTTTTCAGATTCTTTTCTTTTTTTAATTTTAATTTTTTTTTTATTTTTTACATCATTGTTTATTTTTAAACATTTGCTTCCCCCCATCCCCTCAGGTGTAGTCCCCATAGTTTCTTTTCAGATCAGATTCTTAAAATATTTTTTTTAACTAAGGAGGGAAAAGATTACAGGAACTGGGATGGGAAATATTTACATAAACCAAATTAATGTTTTTTATTTTTTTTACAAAGTTTTTAAAAAGATTTATGCATACAAGAACTGGGGTACAGGCCAGAGATGCGGGGGGCGGGTGAGAGGATTCACCAGAGACAGAGCAGGGAGCAGAACAGGCAGACTGACGAAATACACTGCTGAGGGGATACAGGAAAGGTCTGCTGCGCCACGTGGGTTGCTCCCTAGCTGGGGATCGAACTCGTGCTGCAGAGGCTGCGGATTGCCTCATAGTGCGGTGCTTAACCCCTTGCATCACTGGGGAAGCCCAACAAATTAACGCTTTTAACGTACCCACCACAACAGTGTTTGAAACCTCATTTTGGCGAGAACACGCGGGGGTACTGCCAGTGGCTTCCCAGCACTACCGCGACAGGCCCTGGTGAAACCTCAGTAGGGCTCTGCTTGGAACTCGTAGCTTGCAACCTCGGGGGAAACACCCACCAGAGGCCTCCGGCTGCGCGCCACGCTCTTAACTACCCGACAGTGCTGCATGGAAAGCAGCCGGGTCTGGAGTGCCCTCGGAACCGAAGCGCGAGTCGCCATTTGCCCCGGGACTGTGTTTCCCAGCGCACCGCGGGCAGGGCCTGGTCGGCGGGGGGGGGGGGGGGGGAGGGGGGGCGGGGCTGTGTGGCTCAGCCTGCGCGGCCCGGCCTGCGGGGGACGCGGCGAGCGCGGTCGCCGGCTGCCAGACCATGCTGAGCGGAGCGCGCGGCCGGCTCGCCTCTGCGCTGCGGGAGACGCGAGCGCTGCCGGCCGCGGTCGCCCTTCGGCGCCTGCACGCATCGGGGGCGCGGCCGTCGGTGGACCGGAGGGAGCGGGCAGAGGGTGCCTTCGACCCGGCGCTGCTGGAGCTCTTGGTGTGCCCGCTCTCCAAGAAGCCGCTCCGGTGAGCTCGCCGCGGACGGCCTCCCTGCGCGGCCCACGGGCGCGGGTTGCAGCGGGGGCGTCGCGCGGCCTCGGCGGCCATTGGGGATCCGGGCCCGTGCGGGGACGTCCGCTGCCATTTTCTTGGACCGGGCGGGCTCCGGGGACGGCCCCCGTGGCGCGGCGGGCGGGAGGAGGCGGGAGGGGAGCCGGGCCCGGCCTCCGGCCTGCACCGCCGGCCCGCGGGGAGGGGACAGAGCAGTTAGAGCTTCGCCCCTGGCTGCTCCGGAAATGGCCTTCGATTTCGGTGCGCTACTTGGCTGGCCGAGCCGGAGGGTCTGGGGCTGCGACTGAGCATTTATGTATTTTTATACAAGGACCTGAGTCTTTTTAGTAACCAGTGGGATTCAGGACTATTCAAGGCGCTCACATTCTAAAGCCAAGATCATGAAAAATATTGCAGTAATTTCCAGATTCTTGTGAAAGTGCTTTGTACAGTGGATACTTAGCGATCCTAAGCGATTAAACTGTGTGCTTCTGTTTCGCGCCTCTTAGTTCTGGACTAGCTGGGCTTTTGTAAAAGGCTCCTGAACCTTTAATCTAGAGCCCTGAAAAATAACTCCGGTTTCAGCCTACTGAAACTGAACGTTGGCAACTATTCACTTGCGAACTGAGTGAACTAAACACCAGAATGTTCACAGTGGTTTTCTTTGGGTTGTAGATTGCTAGTAATTTTTATCTTCATCTTTTAGCGTTTCTCTCTCAGGATTTTTCCTATGATGACGTATTATGCATGCAATTTTCTTAAACTTTGAAATTGCCGATTGAGCTATCTTTAGACAATTTTAATTAGCTAATTGCAGACTCACTTATTTCTAGTTTCCTCATTTTTGTCCTCTAATCTTTCTCAAATTTTAAAAATTTTGTGTATTTGACTTTTCAGTGATTTCTCCTAATAATGGATCAGATAGGTTGCTTTATTAAGCGTGCTCTAAAATGAGAAAGTTGAGCTTCTCTCTAGGTTCTTTTTGTGTTAAATTAACTGAGATGATTTTGGGCTGACCAGAGGTAGATCTTTACTGACTTGTGTAAAAAGTAAATTAAGGCACAACTTGAGAATGAAATGAAGAGGAAAATATGAGCAAAACGGACTAAAATAGGAACAAGTAGAAATTCATTTTCTAGGAAAAATAGTTCAGTTGGTTATTGCTGTTTTTGTAGTTAGAATTTAATTCTATTTTCCTGAGATTAACTATGGCAAGAATTGGATAAAAGGTATTGTTTATTGAACATAAAAAGTTCTCCCAGGCATTCCCGCCCCCCAGTTTCATCTTTTTTTTCCTTTTCTCAGATATGACGCATCAACGAATGAATTGATTAATGAAGAGTTGGGAATAGCTTATCCAATCATTGATGGGATTCCCAATATGATACCACAGGCAGCCAGGAGGACACATCAAAGTATGAAGCAAGAAGAAAGAGTAACACCAGATCAGAATTAAAAACTACACAGCATTTTATTTTTCTTAACACCTTCTGCCTGATCAAAAGTCGTATCACAGTGGCGGGAAATAACTGGGGGAGAAGAATGTTTTTGTCTCTTCCTACGTTGACTGTCCTTATTCCACTGGTATCTTTAGCAGGACTGTTCTACTCAGCCTCTGTGGAGGAAAACTTCCCACAGGGCTGCACTAGCACAGCCAGCCTGTGTTTTTACAGTCTGCTCTTGCCCATTACCATACCAGTTTATGTGTTCTTCCATCTTTGGACTTGGATGGGTATCAAACTCTTCAGGCATAATTAATGCAACAAGAACCAACATGGTATATATCAATAATTTGGCTTGAGCAACTCTGAAAGCTCAACTCCATGGAAATACTAGAAATCCACTTAATTTGTAGGAAAGATGCTTTACCTTGATTAGAGGCTTAGGACTATGAGAGGTGGCATAAGCTGTGGAAGGATCTTTTATTGTATTTTTGTTCTGCCCTTTTTTTCAGATTTTAATTTATAACTGCTATATCAGAAAAACATTTCAGAAAAGTCTTGGAAATTAATACACCCAACTGTCATGATTATTTCTTACCCCATTATCTTAAAGTTAATAATTTGAAATTTTATATTTCAGAATCTTTGGTAAAGTCACACGTTAATGATGACTGAAATATTTTTAAAGGCGCTATATTGAAGTAATTGGTAGAGATATGCATTTAAAACTACAGTAAAATGGAAATTTTACATACTTGCAAAAATTTGGTGTTTGTAAAATTACCTTTATTTCTTTGGCATCAAATGCTTACATTAAAATAAGATGTTAACACTTTCATAAAAAAGTATTTGTGGTGTTTTTGAGGGAAGGGGTAGTCACAACAGTGATTCTAAGGAAGGGGAAATGTAAAAATATTCTAAAATTTTAAATATAGGCTATGTTTACAAAAACAGTTAATACCCAAAATAGAATAATTTCCCAGAAAAATATGTATGTTTGGAGGTTGAAGTGGAGTTGTAGCATTTGTAAATAGCTGATTATGTCCTACAGAGCTTAGTTATTTTTTGAGTCACATTTTCAGTTTATTATCCTGCTTTAGGAGACTTAGTTGGCACCACTAGAGCATGAGAATTGACAGATTGTGATTTTCCCAAACTTTCAACAAGACTAATTGAGAATAGTACAATAACTAGTTTAGAGGCAGGCATAGCATAAATGTTTTGGTATTTACCTTAAATCTGTGAATTGAATATAAACTTAGTTGAATCTTAAAAGAATTCTTGTTTAACAAGCTGCAGACGGTATTCAAAATAAAATCAAAACAGGGTTACTTGTGTTTTCTATTACATTAATTCAGTGTAATTACAGTGCAAAGGCAGTAGAGGTCCCCATCATTTCCTAGGAGTTATGTTTCTTTTTACTGACCTAAATCTCACTGTGGTTAGTGTAAATGAAATTTTGCCAATAAAATTAACACTAAATTCTGAAAAGTCACTGTAGCATGTGCAAATGAAGCATTTTATCATTTTAGAGATAACTGATAAATACGTCCTGGGAGATAGTAATGCCATCCACTCACTAATAGAATTAACAATCACCTGTATAGTACCAACAGTACAGTAGGTGTGGCTCTCAGCACCACGTTACACATAATTTTCAATCTCAGTAACCTAAAAGGTAGAGTCAATAATGTTAGCATTATCTGAGGGGGATGGGTTCTGAGGCCCCCTGTGGATACCTGAAACCTTTGATAGTACCTCTATGATAAAGGTTATTTTATAAATTAGGCAAGGGTCTAGTAAAATTAACAAACAGTATGAAGTATAACAACTGTAACTATAATAAAAGTTAAGTGACTGTGGCTTCTTCAAATATTCTACATAATATTTCCAGACAGTTGTTGAGCTGGGTAACTGGAAAGTGAAACTCCGCATAAGGAGGGATACTACATTTTACAGAAGAAACAAGCACAGAGAGATTCAGTCATTTACTCGGGGTAACTGAGCAATAATGACTGAAATTCAATCATCTGGCAATATGATTTTGTTACAGGGGAAACGGGTGACCCAGACTGTGAGCCCTCACTTGTATGCTTAGCCTGGGATGAGACCAAAAGCAGAAACAAAAATAAGTTTATAGTGTGAGAATAAGGAGAGTGAGGGGATTGGCATTAGATAAAATAATAAAGTATTGTTGAGTTTCATATGTAAATGTAATAGAGCTATTTATAGAAGTAATGTCTCATGAAGCCTCTTAATGTTAGAGGCCTTGACCCTATAAGAAAGAATTCACCAAAAAGTGCTACATGTAGTTGAACAAATCAATGTTTTATTAGAAACTCATGCTTGAGAAAACCAGTGTCAGAAAGGAGAATTGAACTTTTTTCCTCAGATTTAGGAGGAGACATTTGAAGGGTAAGTCCATGAGGTGGGGAGGAGGAGGGCATTGAGCTGGGCTACACTTGGGCATGCTCTGGTTATGCTCCAACTACACATACGGTCTCTTGAACTTCCCAGGAAACTGAGATAATCTTTAGTCAGGAGCTAATGCTTTTTGTCTAACATGGCACCTCACTGGCAGTGTGGTGGGCCAGACTTTGCTCAGGGCTCACCAGCCATGATTTATTCCACCTGTTCAAACAGAACTTGAGGCAACTCATTACATTGGCTCAAAATTTTTTTTACCTAGTGCAGCAGACCTTTCCTGTCTCTCCCGCTGCTCCCCTCAGCAGTGTATTTCAGTCAATCTGCCTCTTCTGTTCCCCACTCTGTCTCTGGTGAATCCCCTCACCACCACCCCCCACTTCTGGCCTGTGCCCCAGTTCTTGTATGCATAAATAAATCTTTAAAAAAAAATTTAAAAAGCTGTGTAACTTCTTTGGAAAACAATTGGAAATCCCTCGGACAGGTAAACAGTTATGACTTAGTAAGCCTATTCCTAGTATATACTCAAGGGAAATGAAAACATGTCCACACAAAAACTTACGCAATTATTCATAGCATTACATGGTGTGTCACCTATAAGGGGAGGCTGTAGGGACAGGCACCATCTTCCCTACCGCTGCTACATCTCAGATACCTTGGACTACAACTCCTCGCATGCCACAAACTGGACTTCCTGAGTAGGGATGGAGGGTTTGGGTGCTGCAGAGTTGAACAGCTTGGTGTACCTTTAAAATACTGAAGGCAGATGGGCCCGACTCTCTTGCTTTTTTATCTTTGACTTGTACCCTGGTGCTGCTGGTAGGATAGACATCATTTAGCCACCTGCTGACTCATCTTTCTCTCTGTTCCCCCTTGTCTCTCTCCTGTAAACAATTTTTTTTTTAAGTTTCTGCATTTCTGCTTTTGGATCTTGTTCTAAGTTCTTAAGCATTCAGGTAAAAACTCACAAACGAGGGCACCCCCTTTTTATTTCTGGGATTGCACACTAACAATAGCAGCACCTTTCATAATAACCGGAAAGAAAATAACCCAAATGTCTATCAACCAATAAATGGGTAAATGTGATGAATACAGTGAAGGAGCAGAAAAGAACAGTGTTTGTATAGGGTCGGTATGAAGAGGAGGTTGTGGAGTTAGGGCCGAATGGTACAGCATTTCTCTTCGGGGAGATAAAAATGTTCTGAGATTAGGTGTAGCACTGGTTGCATAATTCTGTGAATATACTAACTCCATTGAGCTGTACACTTTCCATGGCTGACTTATATGTGAATCACATCAATAAAACTTGAGAGAAAAAGAAAAAAGAAAAAGCAGTATCTACTGTCCAGTGTAAGAGTCAGTGGTTCCGAGTAATTTGCTCCAGGTGAAACGCTTGTTGGAGGCGTGACTGAAAGTGAAATGTAGATCTTAGGTCTTTCGCATTTTATCCACCATGTTGTGCTACTACTGTTAACAGTGGGATAGCCCCAGGAAGGGGAGTTTCTAGGTTCCCTGCCTCACTTAAGGAAGGGTGGATCTGAGTGAAGAGGGAAAGCGAAAGGTGCTAAAGAAAGAAGGAAGAAGAGAGAAAACTGGAGGAGGCACGTGGAGAAGAGACGTGAAGAAGCAGCAATGCTTGCTTCTTGGCCTTGGACCTGTATCAGGACTTGGGGAACATGAAAGAGACACTTGAAAAAAAGATGTGGATGAGTAACCTGTGGGGATGCCGGCAATGGCAGCCTTTATCTTGACTTGTATTTTCATTTTGCCCTTTTTCTTACAGACTTGGCTGGCCCCTTCTGCCTCTTTCCTGTGGTTCCCCACCAGAAGGTGCCTTAGACTGTGGAAAGATAAGGCCCCAGTGGCCCTGCTTTGGGCTATTTGGCCGGAAATTTACCCATGAGGGTACGGGTAACTTTGGGTGTTTAATTGGAAACTATTTTTTTTAAGATTTATTTATTTATGCATACAAGAACTGGGGTGTAAGCCAGAGGTGCAGGAGGTGAGAGGATTCACCAGAGAGAGAGAGTGGGGAGCAGAACAGGCAGATCCACTGAAATACACTGCTGAGGGGGGCAGCGGGTGAGACAGGAGGTGTCTGTTGCACCATGTGGTTTGCTCCCTGGCTGGCTGGGGCTTGAACTGGTGTGTGGTGGCTGGCAGTAGCTTGATAGTGCTGTCTTTAACCCCTGCACCACCAGGGAGGCCCTTAATTGGAAACTATTTTAACTATATTCTTTCTCCTCTCTCAATTGCTTACAAATTGAATTAAAGTTCTTTTCTATTGAAGGTCTTACTAAGTATATTACGTCTTTATGAGGGGATGGCAAGACCCATTTAGTGCAGGCAAGTTTGGGGTCCTAGGGTGGCCCTCATTCTGCCTGCTAACACTCTTCTTGGCCTATGAGATATGAGACCCTTTCTGCTAATTCAACCATTTCCTAGTGTTCCAATCCCACATTCTTCACTATTACCCTGGCTTCTGATCTGTTAATGGGGATTCTCCTTTGCTAGTTTCCCATTGCATAGCTTGTGCCACACGCACACAATGGCATCGACCCCACCACATCCGAGTGTTTTACTAAGAACCCTCCATGAGAAATACTATCTACTGTCATTCTTGTAGTACTTGGGACTCTCCCCCATTGATCTTTAATAATAAGCTGACAGCCTAAAAGGACCTCTTGTCTCCTTAGAGCCTTTTTCTTCCTTCGTGTCCTCTGCATTACTGTAACCACCTGCTGAATTAAGAGTTTTCCTACCACCTCCCAAGTGAGGATTTCCTAGTCTGAGGCAGCCAAATAGGACTTATCATGACCTCCTCTTCATTTTCTTCCAATCCTGCAGGCTTTAAGGAAGGCTCTTTGAACTTCTGACTCTTCGTCTGTGAGATGGAAATGATAACTACTTCCTGTCCTGAAGGGGGTTTTAAGTGAGGTAGGAAATATGAACTAGGGCTTCCCTGGTGACCTAGGAGTAAGTCTCAGTGCTGTCACTGCTACAGCCTGGGTTGGATCCTCAGCCAGGGAGCTAACCCACATATGGTGCAGCAGACCTCTCCTGCCTCGCCTGCTGCTCCCCTCAGCAGTGTATTTCAATGTCTGAATGTTCTGCTCCCCACTCTGTCTCTGGTGAATCCTCTCACCACCTGGCACCTCTGGCTTATACCCAGTTCTTCTATGCAAAAAAGAAAAGACAATATGAAATTTCAGCCACAGTACATTGTTATGTGTATTTGTGGAGAGAAAAGGCTGTCCCCCTTTCCAAGTTTTGTCTCTCTTGATGAAATGCTCCATTTAGAGGTGACCGCTGTGTTCAGCAGATGCCTCTAGGTGGCACTCTTTGCCAGTTCACAGCACCACCACCAACTAAGCCAGCAGAAGGAACAAAAAGGGTTTTCACTTGTAGGAATACAGGGGAACCAAATGAGGGAGGGATCAGGAAAAAGAGTAGTAAGAATAATAAAGAAACAAGGTTATCAGGCAACTATAAATCAGAGACATTCTGCAGGGGAGGAGGAGGCAGAGGGATCAAAACAGGAGGGAAGAGCACAAGGGGACTATGGCAATGGTGCACGTCTGAGAGGATGGCAGGGCCCATTTAGTGCAGGCAAGTTTGGGGTCCTAGGGTGCCCCTCATTCTGCCTGCTAACACTCTTATTGGCCTTTGAGATATGAGAGACCCTTTTTGCTAACTCAACAGTTTCCTAGTGTGAATTGGTGGTGGGAATTTTATGGGGACACCTGAGAAGAGAAAACATTGTACAAATACGAACAATGGGGCCTCCCTGGTGGTGCAGGAGTTAAAGACAGCACTATCAAGCTATCACCAGCCCCTGCAGCCTGAGTTCCATCCCCACCAGGGAGCTACCCACATGGCACTGCAGACCTCTCTTGTAGTGCCTGCTGCTCCCCTCAGCAGTGTATTTCAGTGGATCTGCCTGCTCTGCTCCCCACTCTGTCTCTGGTGAATCCTCTCACTGCCCGCACCTCTGGCCTGTACCCCAGCTCTTGTATGCATAAATAAATAAACCTTAAAAGAAGGGGGGCCTCCCTGGTGGTGCAGGAAGTTGAGCGCAGAGCTATGAAGCTCTCTGCAGCCTCTGCAGTGCCTGTTCGATCCCTGCCAGCCTCGGAGCAACCCACATGGCGAGCAGACCTCTCCTGTCTCACCCGCTGCTCCCCTCAGCAGTACATTTCAGTCTGCCTGTTCTGTTCCCTGCTGTCTCTGGTGAATCCTCTCACCCTCCCCCCAATCTGGCCCCGGTTCTTGTATAAATAAAATCTTTTTAAAAAAAAAAGGAACCAGGGAGTATGCAGGTACAAACAGGCCACAGAGAAAAACAGAAAAGAGCTGTGGTGCAAGGATTTATCCTGTATGTTCCTGTATGTTAGAGACAGACAGATCTGGGTACTGCCAGCATGGATTCACTGAAACCATGGAGCTGAAAAGGAGCATGTGAAGAGTGAGAAAGGCTACACTGGCACTAAATGTAAAGCAGACATACAAATGGGAAAGAAAGAAACACAATGTCATGATCTGGCAATATACAAGTTTTGAGAATGTAGATGACAATTTCAAATGCTATAGATAGGACTTAAGATGAAAATGGACAAGCTTCCACTGCGTGGAAGAAACACCAATTCAGCCTGGAACAAACTATCTGGATGCTTATAAGAGAAAAACTCTTATTTAATGCATTGTCACATACAGTTTTGGGGTCGCTTTGTTTTAACAGTTGAATTGGTATCATTACTAATATATCTTACATGCAAATAACAGCAATTCTGAAGGAGCAGGTAAACACACTGAAAAATGAGCAAGAATTTTTTTATGTGAAATTTTTGAGTACATAATTTTATTTTTGAAAATAATTTCAAAAAAGGGTAAACAATATGATGGAGGTCAGCCAAATCCTCTGCTGTTGTTGATAGCTACTTGAAGCGCTTCTTCCACTCTTTCCATTGTGGAATATTTAGGGAGGTAGAGAACACTAAAACATGTCTGTGCTCTTATGGGATCTTTTTCATTCAAATTTTCAGGACAGCAAAATGTTATCTTCATGTTCTTTAAACCTTTTACTTGAATTCTGTCAGTTCCTGTAAGAAACACTAAAAATAGGATAGCATTGAGTGGTCTGCTTCACAGAGATGAAAATTTATATAGCAAAAATGTGTTTATTCAAAAACAATTATCGAGGGTCCTCCCTGGTGGGCCAAGGGACTAAATCTCAGCTCTTTGAAGCCATCCGCAGCTACTGCTTGCACGAGTTCGATCCCCAGCCAGGGATATAACCCACATGGTGCAGCAGACCTCTCCTGTCTCGCCTGCTGCTCCCCTCAGCAGTGTGATTCAGTAGATCAGCCTGTTCTGCTCCCCACTCTGTCTCTAGTGAGTCTTCTCACTCCCGGACCTCTGACCTACACCTCAGCTCTTGTATGCATAAAATAAATAAAACATAAATCTTTTAAGTAAAACTATCACTATGTGCAGATGATATGATAATATAGAGAACCCCAAAAACTCCACAGAAAAACTAATCAAGCTAATCAACCAGTTTAGTAAAGTAGCAGGATACAAAATCAACACACAAAAATCAGTAGCCTTGGGCCTCCCCTGGTGGTGCAGTAGTTGATCACTGGGCTGCGAAACTTCCTGCGGTCTCTGCAGTGCCGGTTCGCTCCCTGGCCGCTGGCGAGGGTCCCACATGGTGCGCAGACCTCTCCTGCCGCCCGCCCGCTGCTCCCTTCAGCAGTGTACATCGGTCCTTCTGCCTGCTCTGCTCCCCACTCTGACTCTGGTGAATTCTCTCACCCTCCCGTGCTTCTGACTGTACCCAGTGCTTGTATAAATAAATAAATAAATCTTAAAAAAAAAAATCAGTAGCCTTCCTATACACAAACA